GAAGTTGGCCCCGATAAATGGCTCAGATAAAAAAATATAAGTTCTATGAACTATTCTCACAAATTTCCTATGAGTATGAAATTATGTTCAAAGAAAAAAGAATAAAAAGGAAGGAAACTAAGGCCAATAAATACACATAAGATATCTTGTGAACATAACCTGTGAGCAGAGAGAGAGGGAGACATAGAATCTGAAGCAGGCTCCAGGCTCTGACTTGTAAGCATAGAAGCCTATGTGGGGCTCAAAGTCACAAACTGCGAGATCACAACCTGGGCCCAAGTCAGATGCTTAACCAACTGAGCCACCCAGGCGCTCCCCTAGTAATGTCCTTTGTAACAAAAGATGCAGGCATGGCATTTATTTGTTATTTATCTTTACTGTCCTTTAATCTAGAAAGTTTCCTCAACCAGTCCTTTGTTTGCATGGCTTTGATACTTTGAAGGCTGGTTATTTTGTAGATGGTACGTCAAGTTGGACTTGTCTTACATTTCCCCATACTAGATCCTGATTATGCACGTTTGGCGGGAATATTACAATTGTTATTATGTGTTCTTCTCATTACCTATTTCTGGTAGCACCCGAGTTTAATTTTCTCATTACTGGTGATGTTAATTTTGATCACTTAATTAAAGTGGGATCTGGTAGGTTTATCAACCGTAATGTTATTATTTTTCCATTGTATTTAAAAATAATTTGAGGAGTAGACACTTAAAAATTTTTTTTAACATTTATTTATTTTTGAGACAGAGAGAGACAGAGCATGAACGGGGGAGAGGCAGAGAGAGAGGGAGACACAGAATCATAAGCAGTCTCCAGGCTCTGAGCCATCAGCCCAGAGCCTGATGCAGGGCTCGAACTCACGGACCGTGAGATCGTGACCTGAGCTGAAGTCGGACGCTCAACCGACTGAGCCACCCAGGCACCCCGAGGAGTTGACACTTTAAAAACATTTCCATTTATTTTTTTGTCATCTAACTAAATTTTTTCTCGTTGTACTCGCATTAGCAACCATTGATGCACCTCAGCTGAATTCATTTGTATTATGATATTTGTTAAAATTGGTTGATGGATGTTTTTGACATGTCTCTCTCTCTCTACTTTTTTTTATTAATTTCTTTTCCTCCTGGCACAACACATTTTTCCAGGCTTATTTTGTACTTGGTTCCACTGTTAGAATCAGCAATTTTACAAGAAACCCTGGTTACTTTTACTGAAGAATGGAATTTAGAAACCAAGAAGTAGGGGAGCCTGGATGGTTCAGTTGGTTAAGCCTCCGACTCTTGACTTCAGTTCAGGTCATGATCTCATGTTCATGAGTTCTAGCCCCACATTGGGCTCTATGCTGGTGGTGGGGAGCCTGCTTGGGATTCTCTCTCCCTATCTCTCTGCCCCTACTCTGCTAGTTGCATACTCTCTCTCTCCCTCCCTCTCTCTCTCTCTCAAAATAAATAAATAAACTTTAGAAACAAATAAAACCAAGAAGTGGGTACCAGGCTAATATGCTCTTTGCTGCTGAGGTGTTACACGTCCCAAGTCCTCTTGGTGGATAGATAGATCAGAAATTGTTTTCTAAGTAAGATTCCTGACAAAAAGAAGTTCCTTGTACAAATGGCTGAATACACACACACACACACACACACACACACACACACACACACTTACATCTTTACTTCTTTTCTCCTTTCTATCTTTATCAACATACGTTAAAACCAGACTTCACACTGGTAACTCCAAACCCCAACTATTATCCCAGGGTTATTCTAGTTTTTGTCCTTTATCTGCAACTTTAATGGTGAGATGATTACTTCATACTGTATTATACTTTATATATACTGATGTTACTCCATACACTTGTAGAAATGAGTCATGAATCACTGTCCCCACCCTTTTACTTGGTTGGATCCCTCCTTAACACTGATTAGGTTCCAATACTCCTCTCTGGGTTGCTGTATCTGTCTTGGCACATGGAAATCCTTCTCACCTGCCTAGACTCCAACATCCCACACTAGACCACTGAGGCCCCCTTTAGTCTATTAACACTGCTGAGGGTATGACACCCTATTCCAGGCTGTTGTGCCCCCACCCACATACAGATGTCTACCCTACTTTGATGTAGGACTTAATTATAAAGAAGGCAAAAAAGGAAGATAAGAAGGAAGGAAAAGAAAAAGGAAAAAATGATTTTTGAAACAAAAGAAGTTAAAAGAATAGCTTTTTCCCATATTTATCACTGAATATGTAGCACATAATTTCATATACAATTTTAGCTGCTTTATTTTATTGCCCCTTTGAATCTAAATAATCTGCTATAGTATAAAATACCATATAATAAATTATCTGTACTTTTACTAGGTCAGACAGGCCAATGAAATTTTGAGCTGTGATATTTACACCCGTTTTGAAATATTTAACTTTTTATATAACATTTCTCTTATATTTTATTTAAAATCACATTGCATTTTCATTGTTCAAATTCTTCAGGAAAGACTACATTTTGTAAGCATTAAATAAAGAGGTCCCATCAAAGGAATAATGTTTATAAATGTTGATATTTAAATGTAGGTTTCTCATGTAAGGCTCAGGGTCTAATTCATTTTTATATCTCCATTACAATTTCAGTTGAATCTACCTCTTTCTGAAACAAATTTTAGGTATGCATTTATCACAAAAATAAATATTAAGAAAATTGTGCTATTCAATAAATAGTTCCAATAACATTTTAGTTCTTACCTGAGGTGAACATTTTCTATTTTTCAAGCTGAGGGAAACTCAGTAAGTTAATACTTTCATTATGAGTGTAGGTATCAGACACACCCAGACCCTATGTCAGAAGGATAAGTATCAAATATATTTTCATTTTTCAATGAAAAATTTTACAGTATGAAATGTGAAATATGAATAAATGTGAGATATTAAATGTTTCCTGAGAATTTAATAATGTCTATTCATTATGAATATAATGTTCTATTTTTCATATTTTTTCTAGAATTATAAGCACTTAAAAATTTAAGAAAATCTGGTCATTAGCAAAGTTTACCTAATAGATACAAACTTATATGATCTGTAAAAAAGAACACGTAAAATAGTGCATCAATATTATTATAATTCTATATATATATATTTGTCACATACATAGTTATTATTTATAAGAAGTTCATATTAATTACAAGGAAATTCATCTAGGTTCCTGAGGCTAATTTAGTATCAATTTAGTATCAGTGAATTTTGATATGACTTAGCACATTTCATTTTCCTAGAATGTAATTGCTTGTTAATGGTTTATTCATATGCCTAAATGTGGATAGTCTACTTCCCATGATTTTCATTGAGATTAATTTTCTAATAACGTCGTGGTAGATAATAAATATTCATTTATTTCTTTCCTTTCTTTATCCCTTCCTCCTTCCTTCCCTTCCTGTCTAAGTTCTCTTTCATGTCAATATTTTTCTTCCTCCTTCCTTCCCCGAGAACCTTTCATACAATCCCTTCTCGTCCTTTTCCCTCAGTGTAACAAAACTTGACTTGGAGAGTAACGGGTTCCAGTTACATAATAATTTGAGTATTGATAGTTTTGTAAACTTTTATTTTATTTTTTTAAATATTTATTTATTTTTGAGAGAGAGAGAGAGAGAGAGAGAATGAGCAGGGGAGGGGCAGAGAGAGAGGGAGACACAGATCTGAAGCAGACTCCAGGCTCCAAGTGGTCAGCACAGAGCCCAACATGGGGCTCGAACTCACAAACCATGAGATCATGACCTGAGCCAAAGTCGGAGGCTTAACCGACTGAGCCACCCAGGCTCTCCAGGTTTTGTAAACTTTTAAATTTCCCGTTGGTCTTTGCAACTAATAACATTACTTCAGGAGTATATTTATATCTTATGATCATATCAGTATGATATATATCAGTATCCTATCATATCAGTGGAAATAAATACCTTTCTTAATTTAATATAAAATTATAGTTATATACTGGAACTCTACTTAGAAAACAGTTTAAAATATTTTCATAGAAGGTATGTATTCTATTAAAACATAATACTACGATAATTTTTTGATATTTCTCTGCCTACTCTTAAAATGCAATAAATCAAGTTTTTGTATCATAGGAGCTATAAAAAATATACTACAATGTATATCTTCTGACTTCCAGTCTTGTAAAACATAACGGCAAATTCTATAAATATGTATGTATATTTTATATATAACTGTTATTTATATAACTAAAAACATAACTAGATTTCTAGTTAAAATGAATTGTATTCTACATGCCATTATTTCTATATCTTTAAGCTCTGGGGATAACTAGAATGTTTTCAAACAAAAAATGCAATAGTTTTCAATGGCAGTTGTATAATCCTAAATTTTCTATTTGCCTTAAAAATAAGCTTACTATTTGCAGTTTCAACTTTAAGATTTTAAAACAGATTAATTTTAGTTTGTTTTCTATCAAAATGTCTTTTATTTTTAGTTTTTTTTTTTGATAGGGTTCTAAGTTTACATAAAATATAATTTGCATTCTTTTTTTAATGTTTATTTATTTATTTTTGAGAGAGACAGAACACAAGCAGGGGAGGGATAGAGAGAGAGAAGGAGACACAGAATCTGAAGCAGGCTTCAGGCTCTGAGCTTTCAGCACAGAACCCGATGAGGGGCCTGAACTCACAAACTGTGAGATCATGACCTGAGCCGAAGTCAGACGCTTAACTGACTGAGCCACCCAGGCGCCCCTATTATTTGCTTTCCTAAGACATTTTCTCCTTTTTTTTTCATAGACAGTTTGCTCATAAAGTTGGGGGATCCGAATCAAGGTTTAAAATCAATCTTGATTAGTAAATATGTTCTAAGTCCTCACTATCTTCCCTCAGATGCAACTGTTCTAAATTTTTAAGTATTGGTTCATTCCTCCTAATAATAACCTGTATCATTACTTATTAAAATGTAAAGCTATTTGATTACAGAAATATTTTATGAGATCTCAGAAATTATTGTGCTATACTTACCAGCCAAAGCAAGAATATATTCTTGAAATCTTGTTCCTATACGGTTAGTGGCTGTGCAATTATATCGTCCAAAGTCATTGTCAGATGTAGGTGCAATCTAAAATAATCATAATAATAAATGTTGAACAATTTTAAAACAATATCACAACAGTTTTAAAATAGACTCTAGTATGCCTACCATCTTCACAACTGTTCTATTATTTACAACTCCTTGCCATATTCTTTTTTTTTTTTTTTCTGTATCAAGTAAGTATCATACCCTTTTAAGATGTAATCCATAGACCTGTGTTTCCATGGGACTAGGTGAAATATAGTTTAGCTATTAATTTATTAAGTAGATAAATGCCACATCTACTGAATAGAAAAATCACTAGATATTAATGTATGTAAAGATCACTAAGTAGTACACATTTTGAAAAAAATACATTCTGCAATCACTGCAGACATGAACTTGAAAACAGAAAATTGTTCCCAAAGCATTAATTAACTCTTTGTTTTCTGTTTTAGCCTCAAGTCAGGCAGACTTAAAGTTCAAAAAAGGTTGGAAATACATCAGTTTTCTTTCCCTCTCATGATTTTATTGAATATGAAATATTAATGAAGGATGAGGACTCATTCTAAAAAAAAATAATAATCTTTCCAGGAAGGTACTTTGCAAGAAAAATGTTGCCCTTGTGTAGTAATCCCTGTAGACAGACATATTATCTTGATAACTAATAACAGTATCTCACCTCCATTTATGTTCAATTCTTATCATTCTCTTTCAGTTTAGGTGCAAAATAGCTGACCTCAATCCTTACACATTCGAAATCCATAATTAAGTTAACCTTCCAGAATTCTATTGCTGAACGTTGGGACCAACCCTGTAATTCTAATGTACCGAAATTCTGAAGTATCAATTCAGAAAAGAGATTTGATGATAGTAATAGATACAATTTTCAATCCCAGTAACTATTATTAAGGGAGCATATGCTTACAACAAGAGTTGCTGTTAATTTCAACTCTATCCCAAAAAGGGGAAAATGATTTTGTGGTAATGGGAGGCCATTAACTAAAAGTGCAATTTTGAGGTCCATTGAAGATGGTAATTCTGAAAGAGTACGAAAAAAAATCTGTGTTATTCATTCTCTGGTTAGCTGTCTATCTAGGAGTAGATCATAAGTTTAAGGATTAGAAGCTTTAACAGTTCTTATGTAAGTACTTTTTGATTAAAATATTCATTTTTTCTTACATTCAGTTTTTAATAAACTAGGCTAATTTAACTTTAAAACAATTTTACTAGTGAGAAAGAAATCTGCCAACAAAAAAATTCTTCATTTTACAAGCATTTGAGAGTTATTTATATAGTCCACAGGAAAGAATGTGCACTGAACTGACACAATGCAGAGACAGAATGGCCATGACAAAGTAGGAGAACTATCATGCAGCTCCTCCATATTAACAAGGTAATTTAAATATAACCAGTTTAATCGGAACGACTTTTAAAAGGCTCAATTCAAGGTTTTTTCACTTGTTTGTTTGTTTTCTGTTCCTGGGAGTTTGCCTATCCCAAGATAGAAGTTTCATAATTTTGTCTGAAATAATTTCTTTATAATGTTGTATGATGAACAAATACAGAAAACGCCCCTAATAGGATAGATTATTTAAAAGAAAAGCACAGATCTAGATATAACCTGACCAAATCATGAGCCCGGCAGGATAGTTGATGTGTTCTAGGAAAGCAATATGAAAACAATGTCCGAGAGTGGTTTGACGCCCAATCTGAACACAATGAAATGAGAAGTAATCTTATCAAAAAAAATAAAATAATGTACAAATAGGTATATTATAAAGCACTAACTTAAAAATATTTAAATTTAAAATATACCAGTTATTGCTGCTATTTATCCAAGAAGAACTAGGAACATCTTACATATGGAACCACTTTTTCATATTTAAATATGCAATTAAAATAATTCAAGTTAACTTAAGATGTTGGGCTTTCATAGTACATAATAGAACAACATATAGTTTTGAACATCAATTAGGGCTGGGAATACATTGTTGATAAGGGAATTCAATCATCTTTTTCCTAAACCTTCAAAAACTTGGTTTCATTTCTCTTGTGTTCCATTGTGAGAAAAAATCACATATTTAATAGTTAGCACTTTACTTAAGAAACAACAGAGAACAATAAAACAATATTATTCCAATCAATCCATTAGAAAGTTTCTACATCAATTTTTGCCCATATATTAAAAATATGTCCAATTACCTCAGGAAGCACTCAGGGAAAAAAAAAATGGATGGGCTATAGAGATGAATGTATTGGCAGCAATCCAAAGGATTTATATAATATTTTATTACGTCTTAAAATTCATAAATTTAAAAGATTGAAAATATATATTTACTCAATGTGAAAGGAAAAACTTTAAAATCAATTCAAGAAATCTATTATTGACCAACTTGTTATCGATTGCAAACTCTATTTTTCTATATTGTATTACATGTTAAGAATTAGCAATTATATGACTATTATAATAATTACCAAAAAAATAAAAATGTAGTATCATAACCAACTATATATGTTATTGATTCAAGATTAGTAATGCTTATCATTGCTTTTTCTTTTTTATAGTTATTGTTATTTTGTTTTATTTTGTCTTCCTATTGTATTAGTTATACATTAGTTATTTATTCATGATTTTAATTCAATTTCTGAAAATAGTATGCACATAAAAAGTGTATATTCAAGGTCAATGCTTTAACCAACAAACCGTGTGGCTGTGTATAAACAAAAATTGCTTAGTTTTTACTTTGGGATGGAGAGAAATGCCATTTGGGCAGAAGATTAAATAACATGAGAGCTTTATATGAACAAAATATTTAAATATAAAATGATTAATATATTTAAATGTTGGATTTATTACATGTTGTTTGAAATTGACTATGGAGAATTATGAGCTATCCCAGAAACTGAAAACTGGTAAAATGATGTAAAGCAGAAATTGCAGATTAGTCTGTCATTTAAACATGACCTTAAATCTACCTGTTACGGAATGAATTCTCTTGCCCCATGGAATTCATATGTTGAAACCCTAACCTCTAATGTTATTTGGAGATAGGGTCTTTAAAGAGATAACTGAAGTTAAATGAGGTCATAAAAATGGGTCTTAATGTCCTTATAAAAAGACAAGAAACCAGAGCTCTCTCTTTATGTGCACATAGGAAAGTCTATGTTAGTAAATGGTTAGAGGGAACATCTGCAAACAAGGACAGGGATTTCATAAACAAACAAACAAACAACCTGGAACCTTGTTCCTGGACTTCTAGCCTACAGAAATGTGGATGTGGGGAAGGGTTTCTTTGTTGAAACTACCCAATCTGGTATTCATTATAGCAGCCCAAACACAGTAACACAGTACCCCAAACTAAGATTAAATCTAACCTTGGTTTTTAACTATGGTTAAATACCTACATTTTAGGTTAAATCTACCCAAATGTCTTTGTGAACTTGACCTCTGTGTCAATTCACCAATAGCTAGTTCTTCTAATAAAGTTACAAAGGAACCAATTTAAACCGAAATGGATTTAGACAGAGTAGCTTATTAGTCAGCTATCCAAATAATTGGGGAAGTAATGGTTAAATCCTTCTATCAACCAAACATTTCACTAAGTCCAGTTACCAGGTAGAAGACTTAACAAGGCACCAATGAGAGCACCCTGAAGTTCATGCAGTCTGGATATCAGATGTTATTTTAAACCATGCGTCTTTAAAATTTATGTAAACTGAACTACAGGGAAAAAATATACTGTCCTTTCAGCTAAATAAGGCTGGTGGGGAAGATTCCTAATTATATTGAAAGAATGATAAACTGGAAGGGTCCCTGATTATCATAGAAACACAAACTTTGGGAATTGATACAGACACATAATCAGCAATTGCTAAATAAGACGTAGTGTACTCAAACAGAATTTAAAGCCCAGGCACTAAGCAGTATAAAAACAATGATATACAATCTTAATTTAAAATGAAAGGCGCCTCTGTGGCTCAGTTGGTTAAGCGTCCAACTCTCTATTTTGGCTCGGGTCATGATCTCACAGTTCGTAAGTTTGAGTCCTGCCTTGGGCTCTGTGCTGACAGTGCAGAGCCTGCTTAGGATTCTCTCTCCCTCTCCCTCTACCCCTACCCCTGCTCTCTCTCTCTCTCTCTCTCTCTCTCTCTCTCTTTCTCAATAAATAAACTTAACAAAATAAAATATGTATACATGTAAAATACATATACAAAAGAAAATGAAGTGAGGCAGTGAACAAGTAAATCTGGTTTATTTAGAAACTTGTAAGTATGTAACAGCAAGAAGTAACATATGCCAGTCCTAGAAACAAAGCATAACCTCAAAAACAATGGCTACAATCAACATTGAAACTGAACTTTTGGCCCTCAATAACTGATGAATTACTCATTCCCTCACTGTATTTTTTCCTGATATAACTGACTTTTTCCAAATATTACCTCATGAAAAATAATGGCTTTTGTTATACACTCATAATCCTACATAAGTAAATTATGAGAAATTAATCATTAATGGGCCATGATCCAAATGCATAAAATTTCCTTTTTAAGTAAAAGCACATGAAAAATATACAATAAGATTTGTATGTGTATATGTATTATATGAAATATATAAGTGTATTTATATCAAAGTATTTAAAAATATAACATAGTAGTTAACTGCTAAAATAATACAACTTATTCACATGTACATAAAGACTTACCTCTAATATCATCTTTCTCCCTGCACTATATGTCTTTAAATTAGTGGTGTTTTTAGCTGGCAAGACTAATTTCTCTCTTCTCCAAAGGACTGATGCTGGTGGATTAGATTTCACATCACAGCTTATATTGATCGGGTTTCCTTCCCAAGAGTAATAAATTGTTTGGTTTGATATAAACTTGGGAGCATCTGTAAAGCAAAATAACGTAACATTTATAGACCTTTTGTTTTAGGTAAATAATCAATTAGTGTTAATAACAGTAATTATTACTCAACTACACAAAAAAAAGCCACATCAATTCTAATTTCATATATTTAGTGTGTGACAGCAGAACTCATGAAAATATGTTGTTTGCTCTTTCATCAAATAATTTTAAAATTAATATAAAAATATTCAAAGTTTGTCAATTATTAAAACATGAAACATTAGTGTACAAAATTTGCTTTTAATAATCTGAGAAAAAAGTATCTATCCAGTTAATTAATAGCTATGTACGTATATGAAATCTGTTTCTACAACAAACTTCATTATAAAGTGAGAGTTTAGGATAATGGAATCAGTGGTCATGTGTCATTTTTAAATCTTGTCTTATTCATATAATTTCTTTTATAAGATATTTTGAAGCATATATAAAATCTAAATTGAAATGTCAATATTACAATTAAGAGACTTTTTTTTTCTGAAAAATAATTTCCAGTTTTAATTAAACCATAGATGATTTAATTTAATTGACAAAGTTGATTTGAAAATTAATCAGTGCCTCTGAGGGTCTGTCAAAACTGAGGCCCCTACAATCAGACCTCTGTAAAAACAGTTAAGAGAAAATAGACAATATTATTATATTGTTTTATCAAAATAACCTAATTGTGAAGACACACAAGTGTGGTTTTAGCCTTGCCCCATGCCAATCATAACTGCTTCAAGTTTCAGTATCTTGACTGTATAATTATTTGAGAGAATTCATTTTTAAATTTTTTACTAAATATCATAATCCTAAATTAAGTGGTAGCTAAAATGTTGCTGGTAGAAAATGTTGATTGTTATTGTTATTAATTATTTAGAACTTAGTATCATTTCACAAACTATCGATTTCAGGTTTGTTTTGTTTTACTACTTGTAATTACTTAAAAATGACCTACACCAATTTTGTTATATCAATAGATTATATATCTGATATATAAGAATTATAATTTATAGTACAAATGCACAAGTAATTTTAAAATCCTTGTCCTTTATTTGTTTTAGTGTATGTTTTTAATGCCAATCTCACAGATTTGAATATAATCATAATAATATAATAATAATATTATATTAATTATATATTATATTATATATTAATTATATATTATATTATATATTAATTATATATTGTACATATTATAATTATATATATAATTATAATATATAATTATATATATTAATTATATATATTATATTATATTATATTATATTATATTATATTATATTAATAATATTTTAACCAGAGGCCATTCATTAGATATCCATTCAACCCAGGAACAAAATTATATTATTCAGTGCTAGCAACGTGTTGGTGATGTGGACTCTATCATATGTTATTGAGGTAAATACAATTTGAACAACCCCTCAGGAAGATAAAGAGCCTTAAAAACCTTTATAATTTTGATTCTGCAATCTGGTCTTACGTTTCTCTCCAGAGAAAATAAATAGAAATATCCAAAGTTTATATAAAGGACTTTTAATGCATTATTATCTTAACAAAAACTCAAAAGAACTTAATGTCCCTCAAAAGAGAATTGTCTAAAGTAGTAACACATCTTGGCCCTTAGGTGTGCTTAAATATCACACAGACACCTCTACCTATGGTTATCCTCAGCTTGCAGGGTGCCCGTCCTTCCCATCTGACTGTCTTCAAAACTGACCCCACACTTCCTCTACGCAGCCTGTCCACAACCTTCAGTTGGGGGTGGGCTTCTGTACTTGGTGCTCCCACAGACTCTATGTTTTCCCTCAGCATGGTCACAGGCATTGGCCGGATCCATGTCATTGTGTTTTCACTAAATGCTCTGACTCTTAAAAGTTAAGATATGTCTTGCTCACAATTATATACCTGATAGCTTACACAGTGTAAGGTGCTTACTCAGTTCTCAAAAACCGTACATCAAGTTTACTTGAAATTAATCAACCAACTAATTTTCAATTCAACAGCTTAGTTAAATTGAACGGAAGGTATTTTCAAGGAGAAAAGAAAAAAAGAAAAAAAAAAGAAAAAAAACACCTTTTTCAAGGTGTGGAAAGACGAAGTGAAAAATCTAGGAACGTATAACTAATTAGGGGTACAACTGTGAGAGAAGCCAAACTTCCTGATGTTCAGAGTGAAAAGCTAAGGTTATATAGATATACAGCTCTATCTGTAAAACATTTTATTACTCTTCATAAATATGAAATATAATCTCCTTAACATTATAATATTCTAAGGAAAGGTTTATGGATAATTTACTTGCATATAAGTATAGCCCAATATGAAAATCATACATGCTAATGGAACTATTAATAGACGGCTGACTCACAGTCTACTCTGTCCATGATGCGGCATCTGTATAAATATGTATTATATTATTATAATTTGACCATAAACTTAGGGCAAGATTTGATTTTCTCCAAAAGCAAGCAATTGCTACTAATTGTCTGCCTGATGATCTCAGTAGGAATTTAATTTGGAATCACTGATGTTGAATGCAAACATGCTACAGGCAATACATGCTATCCTGAAAGGCACATTAAAAAATGTATTTGTGGTGCGAGGCCAGAAAATATTGATAACTTCCATCTACAATAAAACATAAAGAAAATTCCCATACAATACATGCTTTGTAGACTCAAAACACTACCAGTGCAGCAATATGCACTAGCACAAGATTGGCACGTTAATAAAACCGAAAATTGGTGTTGGGTCACTGTTTGAAGGAAGATATGATTCTGGCACAGGCAACATGAGAAAGCTTCAGGCTAAAAACAAGCAGCCACATTTCATGTTGATAATCAAAAAGAGTAATTTTCAGAGAATTGGCCTTTTTAAAGAGTAGGCCTTTCACATCCTGAAAGACTTCAAGTATTGTGCCGAACAAATAAACTTTGGCAGTTAAGAAAACAGCAGGTGGAAGGAGGAGGAGAGAGGAATACGGCATCCATAAACCATAAAGAAATGGAAACATCTCTCAGGGCATTATATGTCCCCCAAATCTTAGTGAAGCCCAAAATAAAATATTCTACAAAATTCAATGAAAAGAAATAACTTTATGGGAAAAACACATTTTTTATCTCAGCAAAGTAGTGAAAAAATCAGAGAAACGTGAATACTGACACGATAAAATATGTCATTCGCTGGATGAAAAAGTAGCAGTGTCCCTTCAGAAAGCTTCAGGTAACAATGAGAACCGAGGAAAGTAGCAAAAATGCCCTCCTCGACAAAACTTTTGTCAGGTTTCTATAACCCTTTTTAAAAAAAAATGTTTATGTATGTATGTATTTATTTATTTATTTTTATTTTTTATATGTAATTTATTGTCAAGTTAGCTAACATACAGTGTCTACAGTGTGCTCTTGGTTTTAGGGGTAGATTCCCATGATTCATCATCACTTACCTACAACACCCAGTGCTCATCTCAACAAGTGCCCTCCTCAATGCCCATCACCCATTCCTCCCTCTCCCCAGCTCCCCCAAGCAAACCTCAGTTTGTTCTCTGTATTTAGCAGTTTCTTACGGTTTGCCTCCCTCGATTTGAAACTATTTTTTCCCCTTCTCTTCCCCCATGGTCTTCTGTTAAGTTTCTCAAGTTCCACAGATGAGTGAACACATATGATACCAGTCTTTATTTCTGAGAGAGAGAGAGAGAGAGAGAGAGAGAGAGAGAGAGAGAGAGAGAGA